TATATATATATATACACAAAAATCATAACTGATTGCACATTTTACCTGCTGAGGATAAATTTGTTTGAGCTGAGATGCCAGAGTGTCCTTAAATAACCAAGAATCACTTGTGATGGACTTTTTAATCAAAAAGAACCACCTGAATGTTTAGTGAGGACAATTCTAAGCAAATCCCAAGAGCCAACAAGTTCCATTTCCACCATAAAATATGCCAATGTTTCAAACAAATGGTTGCCTTGAAGTTGTAGATCAAGGGTAATATACGGTAAAATACGATTTCAATTTAATGGGCTCCAACAGATATATGATCCACTAGGACTGTGTCATTGAAAATAAATGACCACGTTAAGATATGGCAAAATGCTTTACGGCAAGAAAAAAAAAATCCTAGAAATATTCATTAACACATCATTTTCAAACAAACCTGGTCTGTTCGGTACGACGACTGCTTGCGAGGCAGGCTGAGRAAAGGTGGCACGTGAGGCGGCGAGAGAGGCGCGTGCGTGGGAAGGACTCGGTGGTCGAAGGGCAGAGGAGGCAGGGTGGGCTGGCCGACGCTCAGCGACATGGGCATGGGGTGGCTGATGTGCAGGGGCTGGTACAGGGGCAGTCTGCGCAGGCTGTGAGAGTGGAAGTTGTGAGGAGGCAGGAGAGGCTCTGCGCTCAGGAGAGACGGCTGGAAAAGGAAAACGTAATGGTATTAATAACACCGTGGCGTGACAGTGTGAGAAAGAGCCGGTGTGCACACAGGCAGTAACTTGTTAYTAAATTGTAGACTTTGAAAGAAAATTGGTTTCACACCGGTGCCTTTCCTGATGTCAAGGTGTCTCCTCACATTACTCACATCATCCTCCGATCCAGGCTACCAGAAGTAAACGCTCTGAGTTGGGTTTAGTGTAATGATAAAACAAAAAGTGACAAACAAACCTACACTGACAAACATTTTGATTATATCTTTTTTGAATCTCCAGCCTCTTCTTAATTTGATGCAGCCGCTTTGAAGTGGTTAACATATTCCGAATGGTTTTTCTAACTTCAAGTGATTTTTTAAAATTTTTATTTTCTCTGATCTTCACATGAATCAGCAGATGAAAATGAGTCAGTTATATTTTGGATCAGGTTTTGTTATCTCCCAGTCTTTTCAGCGTATTGTCTCAGATCTTTCAAGATTTTTTTTATTTCTCATGTGCAGTGCATTTGTCACTATGATGCGGATTAGGTGATACCCAAATAAATAAACTGTGTTCCAGCAGTACAGGCTGTGTTTTCTTTTTCATCTACAACATTCAAATTAGCTACCGGTAAATTAATATATGCTATGATAAGGCAAACTAATTAGCATTCTAAAATAACCCAGCTAAGCAACTAAGCTAAAAAAACAAGACATTTTAAGAGATTAAGTAAATCCAAACTTAGTTTTGTTAAAATCTAAAATTGGATACAGTCGTCATATTTTGGGGGTTTTGGAGTAGGATTTTCCTGGTTTTTAGATCCTTATATCCCTGTGTCTCTGTTGTCTTGTTTTTTTTTCTGCCTGAGTTTTCTGTTCAGACTTTGCCATGTTTGTTACAGATCTAAGCTAAACTAAGCCAAGATACGCTGTTCTAAAATTATCTAAAAAATCAAATAAAGTCAACTGAACTAGAACATCTAAAATGAAGCTAAACTAAGACATTCTAACCTAAACTAATTTAATTAAAGCTAAGTTAAATACGATWAAACAAGACACATACAGTACGCTAGGCTAAACTAAGCAACTAAACTATCCAAACATAAATGAATATCAAATAAAGTAAGAAAAGCCAAGATTAGGTAAGTGCCTGTGATATGCACAACCKTGAAATATAAAAAGCCAAAGAAATCACTTTTATATTCAAGAAACTTAGCATAATACACACGATTTTTAAAATTTTTGTTACATAACTGGCATATTTTCTGTTGAATTTAGCTCAGACAAAATGAAACAGGAAGTGACATCAAAGGGGAACTCTTTCAGAAAACTTCCTGGTCTTTGTTTCATGAAATAATAGTATTTGAATTCTGACTCTTCTTTATCTCTCTTTGATAGTCATTCAAAATAATCTAAAGAAACATCAGATTTTTCTATACTGTCTGTGTTGTTAGCCATTGTAGCACTGTTCTGTTCGCATTCAGACATTCCCCTTTGTCATCACTTCCTGTTACTTCACAGGGGAATATCTCAACAACTGCTCATCTCAGCAGCATGAATTTTTTTTTTCTGTAATACAAATATCAATGTTATCTTTCTTAAAATGCATTAATATTTGTCACAAAATTTGATGTGAAAAGCACTTTAAGTAAGGCAAACTAGGATAAAATAAAGAYTAAACCCAAGATACACTAAAACATTCCAAACTAAGCTAGACAGGATAGCAGGATAATAGAAAATTAAGCTAAAATAAAATAAAAACCTAAACTGACTGACCAGTGTTTATATGTTGATTTCAGAATCAGACATAAAAATTGTAAAAGAACAATTTAAATTTGTTAAAGCCAGAGTCGGAACATGTATTGTGACCAACTGTTCCTCCCTCCCTCCAGAACAAACCAATAACACCTAAAATACACAGAAAGAACTTGGCTGCTGGACAACACACCTACACAATGAGCTCTGTTGTGATACTGACCAACATTTGCAGATGGTTCCAGTGATCATAATAACAGGAACAGACAGGCTGTTTCACAAAGTCAGTCTGGTGGACGGTWTACTAAATGTATAAAATAAACTGGATACAATTCTATACTCAATTATGACAKTAGATAGAACTTTTCTACACAGCTGTTGCAGACGGAGCCAAGTGCAAACTCATTTTAGATCAACACACTTCCATGCATATAAATATCCACTCCTTTATTGTGTCGCACCGACACAACAATAGGCAATCTCTTTCTACGCCAGTCATTTTCAGCAAACAAATCAAAACCTATTTTCCTTCACTGGCTGAATCAATCAACTGTGCTCCCCTCTCAGACAAAAAAAAACTATCACAAAATCACAAACAAACATTAAATGGGCTCAAATTACGGCGTCCCGCATCTCATTTTAAAAAGAGCACAAGCTCTCTATTACAGTTCTGCCGTGTCCTGTSAACAACAGCGGCGTAATTAATGTTTCTTCTTTGGTGAGATATAGTGAGGCTGAATCAATTACCGGGCTCGCCATGATCTTATTTTGTCAAAAAGCCCGGGAGCATGACGACTCAAAGACGAGGCTTGGACACAGGTTACTGAAGAGCTGTGACAAAAAGTTATTTCAAATAAATCAAAACAGTCTATGGGAAAAGAACGAGAACACACAATAACTGACCTTATAAATATTAGCTGTGGAGGGTTTGGGTGGAGGCTTGCGTMGGGGAGTGGGTCGGTACCTGGACTCAGTCCTGATGGGGCTGGTGGGCCTGTTTTCTTCCAAAGACCTATCAGCAAAACACACAGAATATTCTGAAATTTCAAAGACGTTTAATCTTAAATACAGATATAGTCCAGTTTTAGGAGGATTTTAGAGCAGGAGAAGCATTTTTTGTGTGAAAACTAAAGTTTCATTCACCATATAGTAAGAATTGTTTACAAAGAACAAAGAGACACAGAAGCACATATTTCCAACACTTGAATAAAGAGTTTGCTTATTTATCCTAAAAGACACCTGTTGGTATAACCCAACGGGGGAGGGTCCAATCCTGCTCCTCGAGGGCCACAATGCTGCATGTTTTACTTGTTTCTCTGCTCCGGCACACCTGATTCAGTGATTGAATGACCTCTTCAAGCTCTGCAGAAGCCTGTTAATCAACCATTCATTCAAACAGGTGTGTTAGAGTAGAGGAACCTCCACAACATGCAGGACCGTGGCCCTTAAGGACCAGGATTGTACACCCCTGGTGCAGGTGCGCAGCCAGAGGGATTGGAAACCCTTGGTGCTACCCCCAAATAATTGACAATTGGATGGGGATCTTGTATTTTGTATTAGAATTTAATTTAATTTTATTTTGAGTTGAGTGTTCTCTGATACTACYGTATTATAAAAAAATTCAGCTGTGTATGTTGAAAAATGGCTGAATTATAGCCCTTTGTAAAAGTACMATTAATGGTTAGCTTAAGTTGGGATTAGCATTGATAAGCAACTTGTGATCTTTTTTTTTTTTAGATATTCCACAACGAATTCCATCTTAGTAAGTCTTAAAATATCTGAATTATAGGTTTTTATAGTTCTCTTTTAAAGATCTTGAATTTCTGATTAGGATTTAGATATATTTTTCAACATCTAAACCAGGGGGTCTGCAACCTTTACAATCAAAAGAGCCACTTGTGCTCCTTGTCTCACTAATAAAATGTGTCCGGAGCCGCAAAACAGGCTACAACTGTGGTTATCAACTGCTGGTCCATGGGCCTTTTTCAAGGCCTTTTCGGGAACCTTTACGGTCAGTGGAGGTGACATTATAAAATTAAAAACATGTTGTTGTTTTTTATTATACACACCAGGACAAATGAAACAAATCATATCCATGAAACAAGAAAAATACCGTGTATTTTTTATAACAAATTTCATAAAAACTAGTACAATTGAATTTTTCAGGCATATTATGTAGTCTTCAAACTATTTAAAGGTAATTTTGATGGATTTGAGGGAAAGAAGTTGGATTATTTAAGTAAACAAGCTAACACGTTTTACTTTTTTATTAGTAGTATTGATCACATATTTGCATACAAATTGATTCCTGTTGCGTGTATAAAAACCAAAAAAAAAAACAATTTATTCTGTTACGTTTGGTCACATTTTCAAAGAGCCACTGAAGAGGGACCAAAAAACCACATGTGGCCCCAGAGCCACAGGTTGCAGACCCCTGATCTAAACTAATCTTCAGCTTCATATGTCTGAATGGCTGCTGACAGTAGCATTCAGCCTGCGGTTTGTATCATTCGTAGTAATAGTCACAAAATTTAAACTTGTTTCATAAAACAGCTGAATTAATGCTATTTGGTATTAGCTGTCGCAACTATTGGATTTTCTCATCAGAGTACTTTTCTTTTTCTTGCCCCCTAAAAAACACACCTTGGCCACCCCCATGCCACCTCTTGACAAAAAGTCTAGCTCCATCCCTGTCCTTGTGTAACCTGAGTTTGGTATCAGATTTATTTTTTTCCCTCTGAAGTTTATTATTTCCTATGTGTTTTTTATTTGCTCATACAGTATACTRTATTTAGGAAATATCAAATAAACTTGTAGTTAATTTAGATCAAAATGCTGCTGTGGAGTGACATCATAGATTTTTCTTAGAGTTGAGTTTATATCTGCCTGTTCAGATTAAGTCCATTTGTCACATTAGTTTTAGACCAACACAAGAGGAAGTGTACATTTTCCTCTGCTGCACAATCAACATAAAATTTTCTCATTTTATAAATGTGTAGTACTTTAATTTATTCAAAAAGAAAAAACAATCAGGCACAACTTTAAATAACCTAGTCAAAAAAAAGAAGCAAGAAGCTACACGCTACCTGAGTTTCTCCAAAGTGCTCTTCTTATTGCTGATGAAGAGGCCCAGCAGAGTCTTCCTCTTCAAACAGATGACGACGGTGGCCACCAGCAGGCTAACCAGGGTGACCAGGATTGCCACGGTAATGAGCACACTGTCGGCTGATGCCATATACGACAACACGCACATTAATACACACACACGCACATCTACAGCACAGAACAGTGACAGGACATAAGACTGTTACAGCTAGATCGTGGTCAGAGTATCCATTTTACTTTCATCTATATATATATATATATATATATATATATATACACACAGTATATATATGTACAACAAACAGCACTTAAAGAGAAATATCATGCTTTTAAATCCTTCTTTTTCACATTTAGGAAAATGAAAACAGCAAACTGACAGTTGGTAAGTCAATACCTCATTTGTCTTAGAAAACAGAGTAAACTGAATGGGTTGAAAAATATGACCCAACAGACTAAAAAGATATTCACGCAGCACCAGGAGGTACTAAATTAAACTTTTCTGCATTCCAAGTACACAACAAAATGCATTCATTGGCTAAAAAAGTGGATTTTGCATGATATGTCTGCAAAAGTGGATCTGTGCTGTGGACCATCCATCCATCTATTGAATTTTCTTTTTTTTT